TTTTCTGTCGCTTTTACTTTTCTGCTGTGTGGGCATGGACCACAGTGGGTTGATTGACAGGCTGTGTGTCTAACGTAACCGCTTGGATGGGCGGGCACAGGCAGAATGCAACTGCTGCACCATTTAAGGTGGAACAGGAAAATTCAAACAAGAAGCTGGCCAGTTTCAAGCTTGTGTTAGTATTATAGAGGAAATGCAAAACCCTCGATTAGTTGGCTAACAAACAGAAATCTGGCTGTAAACAGAACCACTGATAAAGCTGCTACAAGACTGCAGTTTTCAACTTTTTTTCAGAATCTCTCTCTTCAACTTCATACAATTAAAGCCACGTTGATGTGATCCAATGCTGAAGTGCCTCCACCTTAGATTTCTGTTTGTTAGCCAGCTCAAAGATTTTAAGGCATTTTAACCACATTGTTACCACAAAGCTGAAGTCAGCTTCTGCTGTGCCATTTAAGGTGGAACAGGAAAATTCAATAACTCCAAAATGATCTGAATATGAGCTGGATGAACATTGTACTGGCAAGTTACTCCCTTTTTTGGGGGGTGAAGGTGCCTTGCAGACAATGGGAGAAAGGCTGCTAGGGGTCTCAGTTAATGTTAACATCACTTAATGTTAGCCAACATTAATGTAAGGTTAGCAAGCTACATTACATAACAAAATTAGCTAACGTTAGCCTGCAATTTTTTTTACATTTTCATGCTAGCTTCATGATTGAACTGTCGAATGACAACATTGACTGTTATTTAATAATAAAGATTTACCATCTTATCGTCCAGAGTGCCTCCAGTTAGTTTCAAGGAAGCAAATCCAGAGAAGTATTGAGCTCAATTTTCAAATGAGTCAGCAATAAAAGCTTGGCACAAACTCTTGTACCATAACATTTCCAGTAAGAAGGAAAAATACTGTGCTGGGCTTTACAAGTGAAGTTGAAAGTTTTAGATTTATGATGAGTTTAATTTTAAATTAAACAAACACACACACACACATTTTATAAGCCACACATCTTCCTGGGTCACGGGGGTGTATGAGTTATGGTCAAAATCACCTAAAATGATCACTTATTATAAATAAAGAAATACTCACTACCAAAACTTTAGATAAAGTCTGGTAGTGCCATGAGTGTTTTTGCTGTGACATACTGGAATGTTCATCGTTTATTTTAATAAAATAAAGATAATTAAGGTGTAGGATCATTCAAAGCCACACAATTTTAGTCCAAGTGAGTTAGTTCAAGTCAATAAAGTCCAAAGTCTAAGATGGGTTTGAACTCTGACATCGAACCAATTCAGCAGAATAATCCATATACATAAGTACTTGTATTTAACAGAATTTTTCTATGCCTAATGCAAACCCTGACCTTAAAGGAATACTCCAGCATTTTTCCTTGTAATCTCTTCCTGTAGCAAATGGTTTATTAACACAGACAATAATTTCAATACTTAGACAAGAGCAGAAAACCTGTTGACTCAAATCATGCTTATATTAGAAGCAAATGGGCAGGTTCTGAACCCTCCCTTAGGCCTCTATTGCAAGTTTTTAGTCAACAGATTTAGTCAACAGATTGTTGTGGTATCTGATTATATGTTACAGATGTGTCAGATATAGATATCATGGAAAAACACTGGACTATTTCTTTAGATTCTGTAAACAAATGTATTTGCTCTTTTAGTTTTAGAAAATGAAACATAGCTTTTGTAAAAAGTGCCTTGGACTGTTTTTGTTGGCATGGTAAGTCAGCTTTTTTAGGTTTTCCTCTGAAGTTCTGAAAATATATACAAAAAACAAACACACAAGTTTGCAGCAGAGCACAGGTCTGCAAGAGAGCAGACCCAGCCATCTGTTAGAGGTGTTACTCTGTTGCCAGAGTGTGTTTGTGTGTGTGAGAGAGAGTGTATGTGTGTGTGTGTTGGGGTGAGTGGATGAGAAGGAAAGGGAGCATGAAATGAGTGCCAAGGCCACCATGTACTCCAGATAATGAGGTGCAGGAAGATGCTGAGAGATGAGAAGCACAGTTTGCTTTTTCACTTGAAAAAAAATGCATTTCACATCAAAACCTCAAAGCTCTGTGGCCTCCACACAGAACTTGTAGAGTTAGGCAAATGACTCAAAAGATTCAGAGTACATACTGACTTGCCAGATTATTAGGAATTTTGTATCTACACCCATGGCATAACTATCTTATGGGGGCCTGGTTACAGCTTGGGTTGCTGGGAAGCATGGTTTCCTGACCTCACATTCAACTGCCTAGTTAACAGCACTGGTAAAGGCTGATTAACAAGAGTTCTATCCTTTACAGCAGTAGCAGTACATGTCTGGGGTGAATGGCTGAACACTGTTCTTAATGTTTTTCCAAAGCAAACCTTGTTTTACTACAGTCAATTGTTCTGCTTATCTAGCTTGCTATAGCTCAGTAAGGAGCCTACACTAGGAACACAGCTCAGCTAAGTACCTACAATCTGCAGGAACAGAATGACAATGTAGGAAAAAACAGTTCTCTGTGCCTTCAGTGATGGTAAGCGAAAGCATCCAGTGGTTGCATACAGTTGTGTAAATGTTGCCATTGTAACAGCGATGATTGTGGTGGTTACTTTTATCTGTTTAAGGTTAAATAAAAAAAGCATGTGGATGAAAGAAGCTTTTGGTTTCATCCTCAATAATAAGAGCACAAGGTCAATAATATTTTGTAATATTTTCTTTGGCATTCTGAGTAGTCAGAAATCTGAGGGGGGCCTGGCTTCCGAATGAGAAGTCACTGTCCCTCTAAGGATCCCCCATAGCTATGCCCATGATTTACAAACAATGGCCATTTTGTCAGGTATTCTTAATATATAGGTGCCCTTTGTAGGTTTTCAATTACTGATTAATAGCCCATCTGTTGCTATTTATCAGCCTTCTTCTACCCTGTCCAACAATGTAAAGGGACTACCATAGGACCAGTGCGGATATTTTTTGGGTAGAGGGAGGCTCATAAATTGTGTAGCAACAGATGGGCTACAATCAGTTATTGTGCACCTACAAAAGGCACCTATATGCTAAGAGTACCAGATAAACTATTTGCATAGAAAATCGTTACCTACAGAAGACAGAAACTGATACCTTTATGAGGCCTTGATAAGTATGCAGTCTTATGAAACACGCAACATTCAATAACAAAAATCTCGTGCCCACAGAATAGCAATATTTGTGTTTTTCATTCTAAACACTCCATTCTCTTTTATGTGCAGTGCAAGTTGCAGCTTTCTAAGGTCTCTTTGAGGTTATTAATACACAGACACTCAGAAGTCTTACGCAAACACTGAATTTAGAGACTTCTGGGGACTTTTTTAGAATTCACTAAGGACGTATTGTGTGCGTATAAGAAAAAGGAGGTCACATATTCTGTCACCTTAGCAAACTTCATCAACCATCTCTGTTCACAGACTATATAAGTCTATTCCCCACACATTAATGTATCGTCACTCTTTGAACAAAGCCTGGCACTTCACATATAGCTTTTTTTATCATAATTTGAATGTGCCAGTTGCCCTTTACAAAGTGTTGACATTTCATGATGAACAGGTCAATATAAATGTTTCAGAAGTACTTGGAAAAAAAATCTTGTTGCTTTGACTTTCATTCAATGTTAAGAAAGTCTTTTCTTCCTCTGTAAATTTCCATTTTGGAGATAGTTTTGTTGTAACAGCAAAAATATGCAGGTTCACACCCACAATATCTTGTTTTTGTGAATTGTGGGCTACTGCATAGACTTCCATTAATTTCCTGGAGACTTACTCAAACCATAAACAGAACTACTACTAGCCTAACCCTAACCCTTACCCTATGTTAAACCTTAACCTTACCCTCACTTTAAAATTTAATGATTTACATTGTGGGGACCAACTTCCCCACAAGGAAGAAAGGTCCCCACATTGAATGATGGTATGAACAGGTTTTGGTCCCCACAATGTGGTATAAACCTGGTCTCTCTCTACACACACACACACACATTAGTAGTGTGTACACTATTATAGTGTATATTATAGTGATTACTGCATACTCTGTGGGATCCAAAAGTTTTAGACCAAATTGAGATCTGGCATTGTTTACCATTTAAACTTGGAAACAAACAACAGAATGTTTTTCGAATTTTAAAAATTTAAAATAAAGAAAAGTTATGAGAAATAAAAAGAAGAAATATTCCAGATTTTGCACTATTTCTAGGTCACTATTCAAATTAAAGCACATTTGTGACATTGACCAGTGAGGACTTTGTGAAAAGGTCAGATTTTTTAGTCCCTTCCATTAAAGCATGTATTTAGACAACTCTCAGGTGGATCTGATCTACTTATTAGAGGCTTTTACAAAAACTTGTGGAGACCATGCCAGCTCAAGCTCATGCTGTACCTAAAGCAAAAGGGGGGCATACCAAATTCTAAAAGTGAGAGATTTATGTAAAAAATTTAAAGATTTGACTTAATACTCAAATTGTTATGCTGATATATAATTTGTAATGATACATTTGCATTAAATTAGACAAAACTGCAAAATAGAAGTATTAGTAGCCTCTGATTTTTGGACCATACTGTAAATTTAACCATAACTTCAACCTCTAACTAAGTTATCAAAAGGAAATTGCTTGACTCCAATTTGACTTTATCTTATTTAAAAAATAGAACTGTACTTCTTGACAAGAAAACATTTACTTGTTTTAAATGTGTTTATTGTTCCACATGAATAAAACATCATCAACACATTGACATCAAATGCCAAAAGAGAGTAAATTAAAAGATTAAAAAGTGTGCTGATGTAATATTTAGTCCCCTCAGCTAAATACATGCACACAAAATCATTGCCTAAATTAACATTTAATACATTAATTATGCCCAGTAAACCCTTTCTAATGCCATTGCTTTGATCATTGCAAATTAAATCTACTGTTAGGCCATTATGGCGGGGGTGCTAAAATCGTGACTGACAGCAGCAGGAGAGAGAAAGAGAGAGCAGAAAACAGGCCTACCTGAACCTCTCTTGGACACCACTTTCAGAGTGAATGACACAGAGAGACCAGTAAGCAGAAGCAGCACAGGAATAAGAGCTGTCATCTTCACCTCCTCCAACCTGCAGAGCAAGAGAGAGTGTGTGTGTGTGTGTGTGTGTGTGTGTGTGTGTGTGAGAGAGAGAGAGAGAGAGAGAGAGAGAGATAAGGAGGAAAGAAAGAGAGACAGAGAGAACAAGAGAGATGGGTTATGTATCATTCAGATAGCACGTTTCCACCAACATGCGGCACTCCACTGAAAGACAAATGTGTTTTCCTGTAGGATTTTAGTAGAAACAGGAAGTGAGCTTTCAGCTGTGGAATACAGGAGGGCTCAGACAAGGACGTGCCAGAGTCAACCCGTTTTGCACACAAATCTCTGAGACGTGAGTGTGATGAAAGCACGGGGTTTAGAAACTCTGCTGCGTCATGCTGAGTTCTTGGTAACAGACCTAACCAGGTCACTGGAAAGAAGGGACGGTAGGATCTCTCCTCTGTCATTAAGTGGCCAATTTAGCGCTTATGCTGCTGCATGAAGAATTGAGCACTAAGTGATCTCAGGTCTTGACAATGCTACATAGCACTGGGGCTATTGAGTTCTTGTACCATAACAACCCTGTAGTTTGCTCTAAAATTGGTTAAATTAAATTAAATTAAAATGTTGTGTGCAGGTTTTTAGTATGTTCTCCTAGTTATTGCCATAAACTCTGGTGATACCATATAAGAATCACTTCTGGTTCCCTAAAGAACCTCTTTGCATCTTCACATCTGCAGAATACTAGAAAAAAAAACCCCACAAAAAAGCATAAATCGTGGCTGAAAGTTGGTTAAAAGTTGGTTGAATACTCTGACCTTATATGAGAGTAATACCCTGGCAAAATTTCCTTGAAAGCCTTCACGCAATCAAATTCTACTCTCTTAAAAATGAAGCTGCTAAAAACGGTTCTCTAAAGCAATGCTATAGAGGAACCACTATTGGTTCTCTATATAAAAAAAAAATCTACGAATGCGATATGAGAATGTGAAAGGACTTTTTTCCGAAAGCCACATTTTGAAAATGTGAAATTGTTTTTGATTTATTTATTAGCTAAAATCTTGCTATAACAACATACTGAGTAGGCTCTGATTAAATACAGAGCAGGTGTGTGTGTTTGCATTTATGTGTGCTCAGTGTGAAGACAGCAAAGAAATCAGACCATGAGAAATAAAGCACGCACAATCACTACCATATAAAATGTGCTTCTCTTTAAAGTCCATGAACTAGGGAACTGGGCTGAAATACAAACTAGACAATCGAAAAAAAAATCCTTTTACCAAATATTGAGCAAATTTTGACCAACAATCAGAGGCAATGGCAATAATAATTCACAGTCCATGCAATGCAATCAAGATACAACAAACTGCAGCCTTTAAGAACCAAAATGAATGTTTATATTTTTGCTGTTCATCTACATAATAACTTGAAAAAAATTGAGGGGATTTAACTCTCCAAACAGAAACTGTTCACCTCCACAACTGTTACGCAGTTTACATCTCTTTGAGTAACTTGTCACTCTCTATTCTCATTTTCCTCTACACTGCCCACAGTATACAGTGCTGCTCAGCAGATTTGATTAATCATTAACTACGAGACAGGTGAATGAACTCTCAAAGGACTTTAATATTTAAAGTGTAAAAGCTGGGGCAAGAATCTTACGTATTTTTCTAAAGTCAGTTTGTAGCTGCCTTTCTAAGAACTGAAACATGAAGGAATATCAGAGCAGGGAGAAAGAATATGATACAATTTATGCATGTAAACTACCAAGAGATACAATATAAGGTATGATAAATTTCACAACTTATTTTACATTGGTAAGTCAATAGAAAATGCTTTAAAGTAAATCTGATATAAGTGAGAGGGACTCATGAAATCTCAATTAATCTCAAACTAGAGGAAAACAGAAAAACAAAATACACAACAGCAACAAATACATTGTCAATGTTTCATCTTAACAAAACCATGTATCTCCACAAAAACATTTTATAGGTGAAAGAAACAATGTCCTAAACTTTAATATACACTAATATATTAAATTTATTCTGAATTTCCATTTTTATTGGACACTTTCTAGGGAAATGTTTTTGGGAAATGCCATTTTCAGTAATTCAGTAGTTTTTGAATGGCACATTATTATCAATATTATTAGCTGTAACTTAGAAAATCAGCTCCCACTTTTTTGTGTTCCTTTAATTCCTTTTAAATTCATAGGACACATTGATTTCTGTGGACTACTGAAACCATTGACAGTTTAGAGAGTGTCTACAAATTACAATCATCAATATCCAAACGCAATGATTATCCGATTAGACATATACACAGCACTCATAAAGCACAGATAATGAACTCACCTAAAATCACTATGTTTCATAAAACTGTGCAGTTCTTTTGTTAAATTTTGGTTTAAGACTTGAAATTGTTTTTCCCTTGACTTTATTTAATTATACAACTTTAAAAAGAGAGATAATTCAAAAGTAACAGAAAATAATCAGAACATTAATATTGCAATCATCTGGATTAGGTTACAGTTATGTTTTTTAACTGGTAATCAGTAATCTGTAACGGAATACATTTTTGACTGACTACAATCACAGAGGTGTTGGAATCACTGACTGCATGATATATATGATATACATACACAGTCATCGGTTGGAACATGCAACTGGATGTCAACACTAGGAAGTCATGTGATCTTCCTGTTCCGGGTTGATGTGAACCCTATATTCATATGATAAAAATGTTACAGTAAAGCAGGTCTACCCCCCCTGCAGGAATGAAAAAGAAACACTGAGAGGAAGCAAGGTTCAAAGAAGAATATGTTCTATTTGAGGCCACACTGGACAGTTCAATTACAATACCAACAGCATAAGTTTAGTTAAGGACGATTAAACAAAGGCACTAAGTAAGAAAAAATATTTGGTAGACTATGGATTGGGTTACACATATACAGGATTGTAGTTATAAGAATATAGTAGGTAAGAATGTGAGCTCAAAGCAGGATTACAACTTCAAGTAACATGTTACTTGTAGGGATAGGCAGTCTTGAAGCTCATTCGAAATCATAACAGAAGTTCAAGAGGGATGTAATGACAGACTATTCAATAAAATTTCTGGGGTGAGGCTTTTCATCACAACTGGAGGGTGAATGGCCTATGCAAGCATAACCAAAGTAGTCAAGCAGGGCTAGTTGCCATGTACACTTAAATCTAAAGATTAGCAAATGGAAATATTGCAATTCATCTTTGTTTAGTAATATTTCCTCTTTGTCTTCATTCAGTTGTCACAAGTGAAGCTAAAGAACTATGCTGGAAACCCTTCTTAATTACACAGTAAAGCTGCCTCAGATCTAGAGGTGCAAGGATTCCATGCCAGTAAACTCCTCAATCACAAAGGAAAAAAATACAACATTGTACAGCAATTATACGTTTAGAAGAAAATTCAAAGAGCTGATTGTTTAGTAACTCTTAATGAACACAGGAGCTTTACAGGGTTTATGTGCTGCTCTCTTTCTCTTGCTCTCTCTCTGTATATGTTCTCTCTAGTTGGCAGTCTCTTTAAGGTCCTTATCATCACTCACCCACACAACACCTAAGGGTAGTGGAGAAAGAGAAGACTGAAGAAAGACTGAAGAAACACACAGTAGTATTAGAATTGGTTCATCTATAGCCAAGCCCAAATAACAGACACCCAAATCTTCTGATATCAACTGAAATAAGCAAAACATTTTGGCTTTCTTCCCTGTATTAGCTTGATAGAAGTATGAAAGACTTCGGAAGGGTCCATATTCTACATTTTTTATGAAGTTTATTTTTTTCCACTAATGTCCGCTTAAAGCTGTTGTGTGGTTTCCTATACCAAGAACAGTCACAGTTAATTTTACCTGACATTAACATGCATCCTGGATGATCTGATCATAAGTTAGCAGCACTAGTATGAATAGGGTGCAATGTGTCTTGGAGACACGTTGTGATCCAATCACCCAAACTATCTTTAGAGATGGTCAAAGATGTATATGACCACAAACTTTGTAATATAAACGTGAGATGAATGCGAGGTGTAAATGGCTATACGTCTCGCTGTCCACTTGTGATCAGATCACTTGAGGTGGATGTTAAAGTGTCAAATGTTAACAGGGCCTCAGAAGTAAACAGGCTGTTTTTGTTACTGCAATTTTAAGATGGATATATGTAAAATACCTCTCTTCTGACTGGCAAAGTCTTCAGTAAGCAAACACTCCAGGTTGACATGTATGGAACAAACTGTGAAGTTTGGGCTGAAATAAATGCAGGAAACAACACTGTCTACAGTGACAACACTACTTAAAGACCCCCTGCACTCAGAAATGTGGCTTGTAAATGGTTAACTCCTTTTTAATGGCTTATTTTATCACAATGCGATCCTACATCAAATCTTTTAGCCAACGATCTGATGATTTCCGATACCTCAAAAATTTGGTTTGATACTGGGGTCTGCAGTTGTTATGAAATGATATTGTGGCATCAGAGCACGCCTGAGTTAGTTCAGTTTAGTTATTCTGTTCAGTAGCAGTTAGCCTTTTCTTGTGAGGAGTCTTATTTTGTTGTGCAGGGCTGCGTGCTGAGGTAAACAGTGTGAGCCTAGCACAGGGGTAAAATAATCCTCCTTTCCAGTAAAATAAAGCTTTGCTGAGCATTCTAACACACAGGTCTAACACACTTTTAACAATAAATGGTGTTAAATGCCTGAGTTCATGTAGAACTGCTATTTCACTGACTTTTAACCCTGAAGATCATATATGTATATCCTGGCGGAGACACAAGGAAAGTAACTATAGCTGAGCTAAAGCTTAAAGAAGTGAAGTTAAAGAAGAGCAAGTGTGGATTTTCGTTTATATTATTAGTTTTTTAGCCTATAGGATATTAGCCCATACTGAGACAAATTTACAGCCAAGGTGGTAAAACGTTCAATAAAATGGACATAAATTTTTGGGGCTCCAGAAGTGGTTTGATTTTTTGTTAAAAGGACAAAATGGCTTTTGTTAACATCTGGGTTGCCGACACCTGGCCT